ATCCGGAAAATATATCCAGGTCAAGAAGGGCAACCTGTGTAATTTCGAAGAGGGTACACAATGAGGCGACGTCGAGTACCTTATTGCTGAAAGATTCAATACAAATTCACGCTCCGGAAGATTACCGACGGTAAATCCGCACTTAAAATACCTACAGCTTTCGACAACAGGTTAATGTAAACATCTCTAGTCCTTCCAACGCGAAGGAGACAACAATGTTTCCATCCCATTCCAGGATGAGACTGGGGTGGACAGGCTTCATAAAATCCGACCGTCGGGGTAATATTAAAAGAAAATAACCATCCTGACCTCGATGTTACTTAAAGCTTTTATCTGCGGACGGAGTTTGCGGAGACAAAGGAGGCCTGAAGTGTGCGAGAGGCCGATAGTAAAACAAGCGATGCAATCGCGTCTCATCTGGACATAGACCTTTTACGACTCTCTCCCTTTTTTTGCCCCTTTACTACTTCCATTTTCTTTAATCGCCACGAGATATAAACCCGAAGCCATCTAATTGCAGACCGTAAACCATCGATCCCGTCTTCTGCAGCAGACCAATTATATTGCTACAACAAAGGTGTGCATTAGGATGGACCTTCTTGTTTTCTCGTCGGTCTCGTTCCTTCCAATTAGCGAAAGAGATGCAATAAAAAAATATAAGCAGAAATTTCGCAAAAATTTTAGAACGGACAGGTGCTAAGAAAATTATTGTAATTAAAATATGCCGCGAGCGAATAAAAATATATATCTCTTGGCGGATGAATTAATTGAAAATTATAAGTTACGTTGAATTCATCGAACAATGTTGGAATATTTTGTTATACTTTGAATAAAACAATACAAATTAAACGATTAAAACTCAATCATAATGAATTCTTTGAAAATTTAGATCTATATCAATAACTCGTTCTACCCACGATTTCGTGGGCGCCGGTTCGAATCCTGGTCAAGCCAGGCCCTTTGTGAGCCCTCTCGGTGCTTGCAGCAATAGGGCCATCGTTCGTCACAAATGAACAGTGAAATTAATGAGGTTCAGCAAGTCGATGGACAATGCCAGTGTTAAGGATAACAGCAGATTCACAGTCAAAGGAAATAGTGGAATCGCAGAGCATCATTATAAGACGACAGGCAACCAACAAATTAAAATCAAATCATCATAATGGTAATTATCTCCTTTGGCCAGCCTATTGATATAAATTTTTATTATATGTTAAAATTTATTTATGTATAAATTGTACTTTTTTCTTCTTCTTCTTCTTCTTATGTATTAATGTTTGGCCAATAAATTATTATTATTATCCACTGGGAAAGATTATTCATTTAATGTCAACGGCCAAGTGCGCCGCTAATAGTTAATAATAGTGTTTTCTTGATGTCGGAGAGTGCAATATTTTCTTGCCACGGCAATTGAACCATTGCAAAAAGCTATAGGTCTTTCAGCCCTATTGAAAATAATTGTTTGTAAATAATGGTGTAGTATTTAATTTAATGTCCGTGAAATTCAATTTTGCTACTACTATTTGCACCAAATACGTTGTTCATATTTGTAATACAAACTTATTGTTATTGATATGTATTTTCCAGTGGAAAAAATATAAATATTTATGTTTATAGTCATACAAATATTTATTATTATTAACATAAATATTTATATTTTCAAACTTTGTCCATTACGTGTCATATTATGTAAGTACTTGTACCGCGTTTATAAAATAATGGCAAGAAACTAACATATTTTTTTATCGTTGTATTAGGATTTGAAAAGATGCCTTTAACCTAATTAGCTAAGGACCTTTTTATTATTTAATGCATAGTAGTATATTTAACAAAGAAAAAAGGAAACACAAATCTCAATTCTGTATAGTAAATGGGGTCCATTTGTAAACTGAAAAATTGCATGCGAAAAGGGGCCTCGGGGCAAAGAACCACGTCGGCTTTTATATTATGGATGGTGTTTGGTTTATTTTTCTGGATGGAAACTGCGAGCACCACTTTGTACAGAAAACAGGAGGACAAATCGGAAAATCGATTACACCCTTCGCCCTCAGAACTTGATGGCGCGAGGTGGAGTGTGGGGAGTTGGAAGCGGAACCACGCATTCTCCCGTCCATAGGCGGGCGGTATTTAATTAACAAACACATCGTCGTTTTAGACTTCCATTTACTACTACTCTTTCATTCTCCAATGGACGTAAACCCATATAAAAAGATGGTGTATGCGTGTGTGTGCATTTTCCATGTGATACATGGCTCGAGCATGGCCGTTCCGTGATTTATGTTTATCAACGCCGCTTTTGTCGACTGAAATTGAGGGGTCTGGGGGCGGCCGCTGCGCACGTTCCGTTGCAATTTTAATACCGAGTTTCCGAATTAAATTATCCATTAATTGCTTTCACCGGCTAATTGTACGGAGACCCTTCTGCTATGATTCACACTCTGACATAAACAATGTTCATACAATACCATTGTTTGCTTCTTTTCAATTAGTAAATGGATTACAATCATCACAATGAGACAATATGCAACCATTTTTTATTTATTTTTTAATGCGACATATCCAAATAAATGTAAATTATGATACGTCGCATTCATACTGATTTGATTATAAAATTTACTTATAAAGGTTTTAATTATCATATGATTTACGAAAAAGTTAAGTTAATAAAATTACAAACTTAAATTAAATTTGCATATAAAGTAGATACAAATAAATTTGATTCTCAGAAAAAAATTCAATAATGTAAGCTAAAAAATTAAATTGTATATAAATAAATATTTTCATTGTGAAAAATATTGAAATACATTTTATTTATGGAACACAGTGTAAACTAGAAAATTTAATTGAATATACATTTCTATAATGGTTGTCAACAATATTTAATATTGATGAACATACATTTAATGTGCGTTTGTTTAAAATTGATTTCTATATAACTTACTGTTTTCATTGTAAACAATGTGTAAAAGTGTGTATAAAATAACCCTTTGCAACAGTTCTTGCTTCGTTTTATTTATGTTTAATTGTTTCCTTTAATATTATTATGTGTGGAAAAATAAAGAAGGTTTGAACTAAAAAATAAATAGAAAATACATTACCAATTTTCTAGTAACAATAAATAAAATACAATATATATGAATTATTTGATAGAAATGAAACATTAAATAAATTTCAGGTAAAGTAAACAAACATGTTTTAAATTTAACTTGTATCATTGTGCTTTATTATGATCATTATTTAAACGTTAAACATTTATAAGAATATGAAGTGACTTAAATTAAGTAAAATTTAGTTGAGTTGAGTAAACTCCATGTGAACTACAATTGTCAAAGCCTTGTACATAATCCATGTTTGCTCGTAGTCGTACATCGTTGTGCCAATTATATGTGAGAGTGTGTGAAATTTACGAGGTGCATTTAATTAATGCATTCGTGTGCGTTTTTCGTTTCATTTTCTATGCTTTAGAAATAGAACGGAACCAGAGTCTATGTGTTTCGTCCTTTATTTTACTTCTTTTCTTTCATTTACTTCAGAATTTAAAACACTCCGCTATTGCAAATTGCACAAAGTGGTGCATGAAAAATTGAAGAAGCTTGTTTGCCGGAGCGTTTTGCTTGTAACGTTTAAATAATTTAAACTCCGCATGAAGGAGAAAACAAACACACCCTTACACACAAACACACATACAAATACAGACGTCCACCCACACGCACACAAATGATTTGCAAACATTTCGGATGAATTTTTTACTCGACCGTTTGCGAGGATACATATTTCTTTATCCCCCATCTTGTGTTCGCCCTTCTGCTTTTTTATTTGTATATATTTTTTTCTCTTCATCCTAAATTTTCAGCTGCATGGCTATAATTAGGGATGTAAATATAGAGATCAGAATGGTGAGCAGCATTTTATTATCGACATTAAAGAACCCTCGAGCCGTAAAGCCGACATCGTAATTCCTTATCATCGTCGATAATGTTTCAATTTCAGCGTAACCAGAACCACTTCCAGACAACGTCAACTTTGTGAGCAGTTTGCAACAAATCGTTCCGGTTTGTCGGGCTGCCGTCGAGGTTTGTCCACATAAAACCATTACAGAAAATACGAAAACCTGGAAAAGGAGGCAATCATTCCATTGTTAAGCTTTCAGTTAACCTTACCGTAAAAATAACAGTGTTGGAAACCATTAGAAACGCGAATTCTCTGTAATACAGAGGATCCCCATTAATAAGTTTAATAATAGATATGATATTCTGCACTATCATAGTTGTTAACGTGATTGTTATAAGCACAATCCTGAAGCCGTAGAAGGTACCAATACGGCTGATCAATTCGAATAGTTTGTGATACATCTTGCTCATATCTTTAATCCTGAACGCCATATCCTTTATAGGTATATTTTCTAATTTCATATTGAAAACATCGCAGCAACATCTAATATCAATGACAGTCGAATTGATTTGAATCAACACTACGAAAATCATGTAAATATTGATGAAATATAGAAGACTGAGAGTGGTTCGTATTATATTGAAATAATTCCATTCTATCACCAATTGGGTTACCCATAAAACTATGATTATTACGTGTATAATGATTAAAGCAAGCCCATGTTTAAATGTGCGCCTCTCCACGATCTTCAAGTCATCCTTGTATATACTGCGCAGCTTTTGCATCGAATTAATAAAATTGTTCACCCTCTCGTCTCGGGTGAAGGCAAAACTTAAAATGCTAATTATATTAGTTACCGTTAAGAAGGTGAAACTCATTTTATGCAGAACAATTATACTGTATGTCGCATTGAGGAATATATTATGGTTTAGAATGTAATATAAATGTGAGGTAATTAGGAAGCAAAGAACCAGAACTCTGTGTAAGGTGTATAGTGATAGCCATTTGCTCCTTCTATAAGAGATTCCGAAGATCTTTGAGATCGTGTAAAGGTTACGTACGACCGGTTCCATTGTTGAAACTCTACTGCGTTGGTGTACTTGTCGTTTCCATTATTGATCAAGTGAGTTTCTACTGAATTGGAGCACTACAATTAGATTGATTGCGACAGTGCTGATCATTCGTGCCACGATCATGCAGTTAATGTCGAAGAAATCGGCAGCAGATAATCTTGAAGAGTTAGTAGCCATGATTTCAATCAGAGCCTTCAATTCTTTCTCGAGAGCCATTTCCTTGCTTGTTTGCGCAACAGGGAGCTCCAGAAGACACTTGTAGCAGCTCTGCAGAATGCGTTTTAGCTGATTTGAAATTTGGTCGCAACCCCAAATGATCATCGTAGAAATCAACTGAAAGCATTTTAAATATTATTTCCTTATAGTACAACAAAAACGTATTTTACTTACCACAGTTTGACTCATCTTGCAGGTGGCGAACAGAATCATACCAATTTCATGGAAACCCGTTGTGACCATTTCAATAATAGAATGTAGTACGTAGATATAGAATATAGCAAAGAAGCCAAAGAACTGAAGAGCGTGGTATCCGTGAACTGCGTTGAAATCGTTAATTAGTTGGGATGCATGCTCGAATCGAGATCGGATCTCTTTGATCTCAACTTGCACGTCGGTTGCATTCCCGCTTCCACACAGAATCCGATACATCCGTATAATCCGCTTATGTAATACATCATAAATCTCTCCAATAACCAATACGTTTATGTAGTAAAATAGCAGCGAGTTATAATGAATCAAATTGTTTATTAATATACTCGGTGTTATAAGGTTTGAACCAAGCTGATTCCAAATGACGAACACGTACACTATTATAATGAACGAGTTGAAAAATATCAATATAAAATTGCATCTAAATGTCATACGATCAATACTTTCTTTCTCCATTAGATTCAGGATGTATTTGAGGTTTCTCAAATATCTTCTATATATTTTGTTCTTACAGAATTGCTTACACATTATGGATATGTTTATTGTTATGGATTGGAGAAATATGGTACTCAACCAGATCATAACATTCAAAGACATGCGAGTCTCTATATATAAGATATTATAGGTGCACAACGCAGGTGTACCAACTATCATAATCATCACGACGATGCAATAAATTTGATAACATTTATCGATGGTTGCTTTCCCGTGGATTTGTATTGGGATTTGGCATGTGAGGACTCCCACGAATTGTATGTAGCTTGCTCGATCGAACATATTCGACTGACTCAAATGAAGTGTTTTATACATATTAAAATCGCGTGCTCCCTCTTGGGGATTCACTGTATGGAGGAGGATGGGAAAATAGGAAGGCGGATAAAAATATAGAATACAGGGGGAACGGAAGAAAATACGCAGCTGTATAAATTATTCAAATGCAAATGAGAGCGGGTTTGCTGAAGCGCACAGCAATTGCGAAAAAATAACAAGTTGCAAACACTTGCACCCCCTTTGGAATCTCTCTTATTAAAGCGCCACATCTCCCCACAAGAACTAGATTAAGAAACTGATTCATTCCGTACATAAAATTACTCCTAGTTTAACTGTCCCCAACATTTGTTATTTAATACTTCCTTGTTTTATTGACATGCGCTGTGTGTGACTTAAACAAGTCAGTAAGACTTGTAAGTTAACACTGATGCTGGATGGAAATAAAAGTGCAAAAGCAAAGACGCAATTGGATCTATTTATATTTAATTTTTGTCTGATGCGAGTATTGACGATCGCACTGGTGATAAGAACTGTAATCCCATGAGAATGAGAATTTTTGTATAAATATTGAAGTGAGATAGTATGCAGACATTTTTACCGAGGGGGAGACAATCCAATGGAAACAGCGGAAGCATAAGTGACGTGGAATTGGGGAGAAACAGAAGAGGAAATAGCAGATCAGAAGAAACAAAAAAAAGACGTCTAAGGGGCACGACTGAGGAAAAAAGACATATATAAATGCTTCCGTTCTGAACTAAATTGAAGAGAAAAAAATATATTGAAAATATCATATGAAATGAAAAAATGTGTAGAATAAAGCATAGCTTTTTTAGGGCCTAGCGGCAATAATCGAATATTTCGTAGTATCTGATAGTTAAGCAATTTTTTATTTGTTTAATACTTGGGTGGATAATTACTAACTCAGTATGTATAGTGTGATACTTCCGTTCATTATAATTGTGAATTTTCTAGAGTACTTTTCTAGAGTTAACAATTCTATTGCAGAAAATCAGATTTGTTCTATTACTATTCTAGCTAGAAGAAATAGTTAATATAAATGAATATTTTAATAAAAATAGATGAATATAATCTTATACGAACAACAAGTAGTAATAAAGTCTTCTGCAGAGCTAGTTACTTTATAAAATTTATACCAACTGATTTTTGACACAAAAATCAATTAATAAAAAAAATTGTTATTTTAGGAAGTGAAATGTATGATATTCAATTAACTTTAAGATTATTAATATACAATTATTAAAGTAAACATTTTGAAATTAATTTATGACATATGACTTTAGAATCAGACCAATTGAGTACAAATACAACGATAAGTATAAAAGTGAAACCATAGAAATAATGATATACAATAAGTAAATTTTTCAATTGAGATCATACAAGAATTTGTCGCAATTTTTTGTAGGAAATATAGTTAAAAATTGTGAATATAAATGTAATTCCATTGTTTGGTCTATATAAAATAATTTTCTCATATGTATTTTAATGTGTATTAATGTTGTATATTTTAAATCGAATAGTTTTTAAACAAATATTAGACAATATAGGACGAAGTACAGAGTTCACAATTCTTGATTAGTATTCTAGAATACTTATGAAACGGGAGTTTATAAAGTATTCGTATATTTGAATTTTATATCGTGCGAACAAGAACGGAGGAATAAAGTTCTTTGAAGCCTAATTAACATCTCAATTTGAAGGCGAAAGCGAGTTAAGAAAGGCAAAAAAAAATAAAAGACGATGAAAAAGAGGAAGAAGGACAAAAGAGTGTTTGCAAAAAGGTTGAATGTAAAGCAATTTGGGGTTGGGCTGTGATCGGGTTGAAGTGCGGTGCGGCGCTGAGAGGTCGAGGGCGGCGGCGGCTGCAACAGAGGAGTCGGTAAAGGGGGCGGCAGTAGTGGGCCTGTGCGCGCGGACTAATTAGGTAGCGTGCTTTAATGTTCCCAATTGCATGAATATTAACGATATTCGAGTCGAGTTGAGTTAACCAAGTCGTTAGGCTTTATGAATATGTTATCGTCATTTGATGCGAAAGGGAACTGTGGCCATCATCAAGAAAACATTAAAACGAATCGAGTTATGACACAGAATTCATTTCGCAAATTCAATTTCATCAAAATCATAACAAGGCGGCCGCATTTAAGGCCGCTTTTAATTAAGCTCCGGCCGCCTCCGAATTATATTAAACCAATTTAGTAGAAATTAAAATGTTTTGTACGAAAATACAAGCAATCGTATTTTTTAATTTCATACCCCTACTTCCACTCTCAGCATTATTTATTGTTCTAAATTTGCATGTTTCTTCATTTTCTCTAGAGCGAAAAAAAGGAAATGAGTTTCTTAAAAGAATAAACTAGAATTTTAGTTACTGACGTGGAAAAATTTTGTAATTTTCTACAAAATTACTTTCGACGTTTTTTTCATAGCTATATTGTTTTTTTACTGTCGGACGAGGAACTTTTTTTTTTCTGTTTTGTTAAATCACCGAACGTTTTCTCAAAGCTCTACGCGTTAACTGAAACACTTTATCAATCATAATTCTTAAACGACAACAAAGACGTATTTGATTCACGCTTTATATGTGCTACAAGACATTCATCAATTGAAATTTATATATATATACAAAAAAATCTTAGTTTTGTTGTCATCTGTGTCAATTTGATTCTTCAAATGATCAAGAAAAGATATAGGTTATTAATAATTGGATTTTTTTTAATGGAAAACAACTCTATATATCTGTACTAGTTTAAACAATAATTTTAAATAAACTAAATGTTTAATTTTAGTAAATCTAAATTAATTGTTTTAATAATAAGAAACACATCATATTTAATAAACTTTAATAATAATCTTTATTTATAGCTACAATAAAAATTATTAAAACATACAATAATAATAAAACAAAAAATTTTTCAAGTAGATAATATGTGCTCGTAAAGAGTAAGAGCAACACCCGTATACTGTGTCGAGACTGGAATGCCTAGAGCAAAACTTCCTAAATAATATGTCAATGCGTTCCAAAATAGATTATGTGATAATAGTGTTTATGAAGTAATTCATTAAGAAGGTTATGTATTGTATTATTTAAGCTTTGTGAAAATATACTTTATTTACTTCACATTTATAAAAACAAAAAATATTATAAATATTTTCAATGAAATATAATATAATTTTGTTAATGGTCTTAATATCATCCTCTCAATTAAATTAAATATATTATAACAATACTAATTGGTTATGTCCTTGTATATATTTGTTTTAATTAGAGTTCAACACACCCCACGATACTAAAGAAAAATTAATTACTCAGTGGACTGAGGTAGGGTCAATAATTGAAGAAGAAAAATTAGATGAATTAGGACAGGTTATTTTCATAAAAATAGGTTAAATTAGATTAGTAAAATTATTATATAACATTAAATTCTGCCAGCCAATATTTTTTCATGAATACATAGAACTTTAATTGCTGAACGTTCTCATTATTCCTAAGAATTTACTTTCACATCGGCAGGTAATAAATTTACCTTGGATAATAAATTCGTTTGAATAATCCAATAATCTATATATTTATTTAAATTACATAGATTTTAATTGTTAATACTTTATATGCAAAATGATATATAAAAAAAAATATTATGGCATGTACAAACTGTGTAACATAAACTAGTATTTAGTGTTTATATTTTTTTTCTCAACGTCGTTTAGTGGAGATAAAATGTGATTTAGCCAATTTTTTGCTCTCTTGCCTCCAAGACATAAAATCATTGCTTGGTTTTTTTCCAAGAGCGCAAAGATAATTTTGCTAAAAGAGCTATTCATCGGCGAGCGAGGCACGTGTACTATATATACATCTATGTGTATAAAAATGAAGAGCATTTTAGAAAACTGTCAAGTGTACATAATTTATGATACCATTTATGCCTCGATCAGACTTTTATTTCTCGGAGATACCCACCTATTACGACGAAAATGCATTATAGAAAATGAAAATAGTAAGAACTCGTGAAAAGGTTGTACGCTACTTTGTCATACGAAGCGCCGCAATCCGAACTAAATCACTTTGCTATTCAGAATAGTCGGATAATTTATGACTACCAACTGCATTTAAGTCGATTTATCGGACAACAAATTTATCAGAAAATATTCTAAATCAATAAATGGACAAGTTGTCAATATAATAAAGCTAACAGAGGTGACCTTCATCAAACTATCACCAGCTGCAAACCGTATGCCCGTATGCTGTTATCTTTTCACTTTTTAATTACATAATATTCATGCGATTACTCGATGTTTACTTTGTATTGATAAAGCGAGGGACGACGTCTGCTTACTTTCAATCCTTTATATTTCACGATTCTATACATTATTGGGAAAATATTATTACGAAAATCTGTAACATTATTATTGACCTAAATATATTATATATATAT